TATGTTCCTCAAGCGAACCGTGTGGCTTAGATAGTAATCATACGCTCAATGACGCGGTGGTGATCACGCCGTAGTGAAAGCTACTATACTAACTGAAAACAGTACAACTATACTAACTGACCAACAAATCAACGAACCAACCAACGAAATATTGGAAATTTTGCTTAAATGAAAGTCTGTCTAAAATGGCAAACAAAATTTAGTTGATTTAAACTTTGACAATTCTATGTTTTATAACGAATCACAAAGACGAAAAATTCAATAGCCAAAAAAACCGCAATTTCTAAACCTTTCATAACAAGATTGTTAAAAAAAATTGTGCTGTACAACACTCTGAGTCAGAAATCGCTTAAAATGGTACACAGAAAAAATCCATAAGTGATGAACTCTTCTCTTCTCTGGTTAGCATTACTTAGCAGTAAATGAGTTTTATGTTAACATTCGCTTGATATATTAAGTATAAGGGTTGAATATTTTCCATTTTTGGTATTTTAACCGGAATGATACGGAGGAAACAATAAATTTTAAAAAATTTAATAGTACTATTAATATTTTTATTTTCATTTTTTACACAATCTAAAAGCAACATTACTTTGGCAGCTCTTAATTTATTTTAAATAATAAATTTCTTTTCACTCTTTTTCTCATATATAGTCAGCATTTTTAAATTGAACTTGTTTTAATTTCGTAATTTTTCCGGCACTCAATATAACGAACATATAAGTAACAAAAACTTTCTGGCAAAAACCTAAAATTCCGTCTTTCGTCTGTATTTTACGTGGATGCAAACCAAAAAATAAAGTAACCTTAAAAAAAAAATTAAGAAAAATACCTACATAAATAAGCATTTAAATAACTATATTTTCTTCTTATGTACCCAATAATGATCATCGATTTATATCAATAACATTCTCTAAATATTTACTCTGAAAAATAAAACTTTTACCTTTGTACCTCTCGTATCTTTTGCAGCATCTACACAAGTGTAAAATACATGTATATACTTAAATAGCGGCAAATAACAAACAATTCCTTATTTGTAAATTTATTGAGCTCTTTCGAAAGAATGTAGTACAGTTAACAATATGCATACCTATATACATTTTTAACCTTCATATCTATAAGGAAACTTTTTTTTTGTAAATTGTGGAAAAACCATAGACACACAACAGAGTAAAATATTTATTTACTCGTATATTTTTGTATATAAATCAATATACAAATGAACTTCCTTCTACACAATAACGTTTTATTGTAGACCATGTAGTTAAACAAAAAAAATAAAAAAGAAAAGGATCCCAAGTATATTTCATTTTGAAAACTTGTAACAGCAGTTTTAAAAGCGAAAAAGCAAACAAAAAAACGCAGCAAATAAAAGAAAACTAAAACCCAATACCCAAGAAACATTTTCTATTCATTCTTTTCTGTGTTTTATTCTTTCAAATTACTTTCGACCTCAAAATAAATTATTTTCCGTATTTGAAGGTTAATCCCGTATTTTGCTTTTGCTTTTGTATAGAATCACTCAAACAGCAAATAAGAGTAATCGATTTTTAATACAAAATAAAAAAAAATTTAATTGCTTTATTAAAATTGAAATTCAGTACTTAATTATAAACACTAAAACAAAAGTTAAAAAATTTGGTCTTGCGAAAATTTAAAAACTCGCTCGATCTATCTTACAATACAATATAGAAAAGAAGCAGAATTATGTCTAATTTCAATATTATATTTAATTTTTGATAATATACAGGGTGAGTCAGAAAAGTATACAACAACATACCATTGATTAGAAGACCAAAAGTGGATATTAGTTCCTTTGTTGAGGGCCCTAACATATTCGGAACGGAAATTGTAAGCAAAAAAACTTGAACAAATAAAAATTTTGCGAAAATTCGTTAAAAACCCTGTAACTCGGAAATCCTTGAGATTCCACACCTAGTCCGGAACAAAAGCTTTACCCATTTTTGATCCTCCAACCAATTGTGAATAATGTCGTATGCCTTCTGAAGCACCCTGTATTTAACATATTTTTAAATATTCTTCCGAAAAATTAATACTCTTTCGAAATCATCGAAAAAAAAAAAAATTAATCGATTCAATAACAAAAAATATAACGATTATTTAATGAGTTCTCCAGAATCGATCAAAAATTTAAATTAATCAAAATTCTGAATAATAGGCACTTATTTTAGTCTCACAGCACCTAATAAAAAAAAAAGAGTATGGAAAATATTAAAAAAAAGATATTTTAAGCTTCAATTCAATACTTAAGGTTAAGTAAAGCCTTAAGGACTGTTTACAACATTGTTAGAGTTCGGAAACGCGAGAATAAAGCGAATTTTTATTATTCACGCTAAAAAATGATTTGCCATATTCTATGTTACTCAGCATTACAAATCAAGTTTTCGTTAATTAAGCATGTCACATGTGAAGTAATCTGATCACACTTTGTTTTCGCTATTTCGTAGTGTTATGAATATTTATAAAAACTAATATCTTTCCGTTAATTAGCAAACGTCAGTCAAAATAATTTTACTGAATTTTATAAATACTACAGTCAAAATTTATAAGGTTTCGTGTATCTGTGAATTGTCCATAATTAAAAGCATTACAGACATAAATGTTTCCGCAACATAATTACATACTACAAAAATTCACAAAATGTATAGATGAGAGAGACAAGAGAGAATTGAATATAATCAAAGGCAGCACTATCATTTCATACAATACAAATACATTTCATACAGTAGAGAGCCTAAATAAGTAGAAAATCAATTCTAGTTCCAGATCTCCAAGTACTATGTTGCATGTGAAAAATAATACAAAATCTTCTTTCAATGCATTTTAAATAAAATTTTAAGTTAATTAAAATATAGTGTTAAAACACCTAAAGTTTCCTTTCTGGGAAATTACAAAAACTAAAACCTTTCATGTTCAAAATCATATTCACTCTATTATTTTCAGTTTAATAAAATTAATAGTAAGTTCCAGTCAAAATTAAATATAAACTCAAGTAGTTCCAATGGAAACGGTATTGAAGCAAAACCTCTCTTCCACTATTTATGACTTTATTTTAAACCTACTTGTTATACAAATATATATGAAAAACCAATATCTCACACTTGAAACCACTTTGAGATGACCATTCAAAATAAATTCTGTTTAGTATCCTAGTTTTGTTTGGAACGTAGAAAAATAAAAAAAATTTTAATTTTTTTTTTTATTTTTGGCACACTCATTGCAAAATAATGAGAAATTTTAATTTACAAAACATAAAAAGCAAAAAAAAAAAGGAGACTAGAAAAATATCCTGAACAGAACACTCAGAAAATGAAAAAAAATTTTTTTTTTTACGAAAAAAAACGAACAAGTTCAAGTTCCTTCAATTAAGTGAAAAAGTAACCCTTAAGGTACGAGGTGATTTTGCTGAACTTAATTTTATAGGCAAAAAATAAATTCTGTAAAATTCAAGTATTAAAAAAATATTTGACCAAAAACAGAAAAAAAAAAAACGAAATCAAATAAAAAAGAAAGGGACGAACAAATAAGCGTTTATTTTGTGGTTACGAAAATTTAAGTACACAGAAAAAAAAAATTCTAAAGAAAAGGAAAGTTTTTGTTTTTCACTTTGCTTATATTTTAATGGGCTCCCTTTTTCCTTAGATGTTTTAAATTATTTTTTTCTTTTGGTTTTTTTTTTTCGTTAAAGGAAGGCCACTTTCAAAAGAAAACAAAAACAAAATTTCATTTTAATGTTATTGCAATTTCGAAAAAAAAAGGACACACTTAGATTAACCAAAACTTTTAGATATCCCAGTGTATTATTCATTAAGCATTTTTTTGCTTTCGTTTCTCGTATTCTACGAAATATAAAATAAAGAATTTCTTTTTTAATAAAATAGAAAGATACTGGAAAGTTTAATATAAAAAAAAAAAAACGCAGAAAAAAATAAAACAGAAAAATGTTGAATATAACTTAAAGCAAAAAATGGCGACGGCATATAACATGAAAATTTAAGTAAGAAAACAAAATGGAGGTATAAAAAGAATGAAATATTAAGTAAAAAAATAAATAAATAAAATTATTTTTATGAAATTTCTAATTGCCTTGAAGCTAATTATAGGATTAAGTAAAAAAATATAAAGAAAAAATTATTTTAATAAAAGAAAAAATCACGACTTAAAATTCGCGAGTCAGCAGCAATAATTGTAAAATAGTTTTAACATCGTATCTTAAATGGTGAAAGGTCTCGATGTGGACCCCAAGTTTAATATTCATTGAAACGTAGGAGCCATATATATATGTTTAGTTGCACGAGATTGTCGATAATGTTGAATATTAGTGATTAATATTCTTCATGGCTTGTAATTGTCAACAAGTCCAAGAACAAAATCAAGAAATTCTAGGAAGAGTAGCAAAACAATCATCACTGAGACATACTGCATGCGGCTTTCACATTGCTAATCAAGATGATTATTATTTAAACAGGCAGAGGAAAGCGATGATTAAAAGTCAGTAGTGATCAGAATGTATGATAGTATTAGATACATAAGGTAAATGGGCTAATCATTGTTATTATTATTGAAAAAACAAAAGCGAGCAAGAAAGTGAGTGACAACACAAGCTACTTGTATATAAATAGCCGTCAAGCATTCAAATTATTAAAAACTGAACCTAGGAATAATAACTTTACTGACAACTAGATCAAAATCCGCTAATTCCTACCTCATAGTCCACATTGTAACAAAGAACATGAAAAAGCTCAATAACCGATCTCAAGTTATTCGAATTTTTCCTAAAACCGGTCTTTAGAATGAACAAGAGTGGGGAAGAAACATTTCCCAAAGCAAGTTGATAAATACAAACTGCATATACCAATGCTTCTTTCAATTCGAATATTTCTTAAAAATTTTATTTAATGAATACATTCAATGCATTCACTGCTATAAAAATTTATTTAACTACACAAATAATAAAAAAAAAATGTTCCACTCACCTTGTTTTCTTTTTTTTAACACCATTGGGATCACCTTTTTTCTTATCATTTTTCTTAATTGTTGTTCCAGCTGATGAATCAGTTGTTGTAACAGTTTGTGAACCATTACCACCAGTTGAACTAATACAATTACCATCATCAATAGAAAGTTTTTGTTTCTTATTATTGTTGCCGTTGCTATTAACGTTATTATTATTACCAATTCCATTAATATTTGGATTATCCATTGAATTTGCTTGAATATTATCGTTACTATTGCCACCAGTTGAACTACCACCACCACCACTACCATTACCACCGCCACCACTAACAACAATTGCTAATGTTTGTTGTGATTGAGCTAATTGTTGATGATGTGCACTATTTAAAGCTGATGATAGAGATTGCTGTTGTTGATTTCCATTTCCTGGCCCACCGCCAGCATTACTAAACATTTGCATTTGTTCATAATCAATACATTTATTTGATCCATTATTACTACCATTATTACCATGATGATGATGTTGTTGATGCTGATGATGTGATGTAGGTGGTCCAGGTGATGGTGAATATTCAATTTTACAATTTGGACTCTGATAATCTAATTTACCATAATCATGTAATTTTTGTGTTTGAACAATTGTACCGGCACCGCCACTACCACCACTAGCACCCGACGGTGAATATTGATGTGCAGTTATATAATCATATTTAGGACTTGGTGTAAAACATCCAATTTTTCCATTACCATAATCAATTGTTGTTGCTTTTATATATGGATCTGATGTTGATATCATTTTAGGTGATCCACCCGGTAAAATACTATTAACTTCCGGTAATCTTTGTAAATGACATAATTCTGCTGCTGTTACAACAGCTGTAGCTGATGAAGAAACTGATGCTGATGATGATGTTGGCGGTGGCATACCCAACATTAATTGTATATGACCAGTTGATTGATGATGTGTTGGATGATGATGTGTATGATGTGTTGGATGATGATGATGATGAAGTTGTTTTGGTCCTAATGGACTCATCGGCCCAGGAAAATCACTAAAAATTTGATCTTCGAAACCAGATTCCATTTTTGTGCCTTTTTTTTATTTTTATCAGGCAAATTTATTTTGAATAAAGAAATTTTTAGAATAATGGTGTCTTGAATTCACAATATAATTTAAAAACTCTTAATATTATGCATACTAAGTAAGTTTCACTTCTATAAATTTTTAATTATTCATAAATCACAATTATTGTGTACAAATTATTTAATATTTTAAAACTGTTAAGAGTTTTTTTATTTTAAAATAAAAAAAAAACGTGTTTCTCCGTCAATATTTTATCAAGTTTTCATCACTGTTCATCAATTATTATGAGTTTAATTTGAAACAATAATTTCTTTTAGCAATAGAAAAATTTAGAGTCCTGCAATTAAATTTAATACTTAATTAATTTTATATTATAAAAATTTCTGGATAAAAGAAACATTTGATTAAGCTTTCAAAGATGTTGTACCCAGTATTCATTGTACCAGAAACATAGTTTGGAAGAAGACTATAAATGAAATTTCAATTGATCATATAAGATTAAAAATTTTGAAATTATATGAAGAATATTTTCATTGTATATATAGCTCTAAAAGAAATACTTTAAACATTCGCCCAGAAATTAATAGATTTTAATGTAGAACAACGAACAATTTAGAATCTTGAAAAGAAATTTAGTTAATTGTATTATCATTTCTGATATGATTTTGTAAAATTTCACAAATCATTTATTAATTTAAATTTAAAATTTTAAAAATATTAATATTGTAGTAACTACTATAACATTTAAGTGTGTAATGAATATTTGCATAAAAAATTCAATTAATTTATGGTCTATTAATTAACAAGTTCGTAACATTCACTTTAATATATAAAATATTTTAAGTGGTCCCTAATATGTAAAACATCTCCAGTAAATTATACATAAAGTGCTCTTACTTATTTATTAAATATTTAATCAATATGCACGTAATTAAAACTCTTTACTAAAATTTAATCATCCAAATCCAGAATAAAAAAATTCTTTCAGTTCTCAGAATATCAACTACAATTAATAATATGGTAGATTTTAAATTGCTATATAACATGTTATTATAAATATTAATTACGGTAAATTAATTAATTAATTATGTACTTGTATGCAAAAAAATCAAAAATATGTTAATAATTTTTTTTTTTTAATGAAAAACCACAAATTATTCCTATATTTTTTCTTTTAATAATAATTATTAAATAGTTTACAAATAGTTAAAAACAAAATAATTTTAATAATTAAATGCAAATCGAATATAACAGTAATAAGTAAAGAAAATTCAAAATTTCTGTTATGTTATCTGTTAATGTTAAAATTTAATTTTTTTTTTGTTCATTTTTTGTTTTCAATTTCCACTTTCATTTTTCAATTTTGATTTTCAATTTTTTTGGTTTTTCTTTTCACTTTCCTTGTATCTACTTTTTTATTATAAAATTTTTTTTCCTTTTTTCATTACTTTGTTGATTGTTTTTTTTTTTTTAATATTAAGTTGTTTCAATTACAATCATTTTATAAAAAAATATTTCCACTTTTAAATTATTATTAATTTATTGAACAATGAAATTAATTAATGGCACAATGTTAAAAATTTTGATTTTTTTTTTGCTTTGGTTTCTTTTTTTTATGTTTCTTGTATACACAAATAATTTCAGTGTTGCTGCTGTTTAGTGATGGTATTTTTGTTTTTTTTTTTTTGTTACATTACACTATATGTATATTATTATGTATGTATACTAATTTACTAATAATCCCGTAATATTTGTGGTAGTATACGCTAAGTAATTTAGTAATCACTTTAATATTACAACAATAATATAATAAAATATTGATGTTTTACTTGTTCTTATTATATATAAATGTATATATATATATATTTTTTTGAAAAAAGTAAACACTTATATTACAAAATATATTTATATATGTTTGCATTTGGATAATAAATTTATATATATATATATATATATGTATATGTGTTTGTATAGCTAATATATGATACAGAAATCACTTTATTTTTTTAAATTGGATCCCATCTCATATATGGATGATTATTTTGTTAATTAGTTTAATTGAAACCGAAATCAAATTGATGATTTCTTGTGTTTTTATATTTTTTTTTTTTTATATTTTTTGATTTGCTGTATAATGTTAAAATAATTTTTTTTTTATTATTTTAGTTGCAACAGTAGCAGCAATAACAGAGCAGCAAGTAGCATAAGTAACATTAACAAGAGTAGTTATATTTTTATTAATATTATATACAGTATATTATTGCTCACCATCGACAACACTATTAATTTTGTGTAACTAAAAACACACAATTTTTTTTCTATCGTTTTTGCAATTTAATTTGAAATAATATTAAATATTCAAAAAAATATTATAAACTATAATAAAAGTAAAATTTTACAAAAAAAAATAGTTAAAAAATTTTTATTTTAATTAAATAAAATATTTTATGATTTTAGAAAAGTAAAAAAATAATTAAAAATGTTAAAATAATTAAAAATGTCACAATTGTATTAATTTTTTTATTAAAATCCCGTTAAGGTATACAAGAAATCGTTATATAACTGTTTACCGTTATTGTTATAATTTTCGATTTTAAAATCCGGATATCGACGAGTTGTGCTGTTTTTTTTTTGTTTCTTCGTAATTTGAATTAGTTCGCCATTTTAAATTTTTTTTTTTTTCTTTGACGTAAAAATTACATTGTGGATTATTTTCTTTACGAAAAATACAAAAAAAAAACCAAAAAAATATTTTAATGGATATTTAGACACCAAAAAAAAAAAACAAAAATAATAATAATAAAAAAATTTAATTGAATTATTGAATTACAGTTATATATTGATATAAAAAATATAATGTACATTTATGTAACGGTATAAACTGCAGTAAATGTAATCAATATACATACATACTCATATGTATATATATAAAAATTTATAATATCTTTTAATTTAAACTAATTGAAAAAAAAAAAACACGAAAAATATGAAAGAAATTTTACAAAACGAAAAAAAAAAGCGAAAATATTTATGTATATATACCATCAAACAAACAAACGTACAAATTAATAATAATAATAACAAGAATAATTAAGGAATGATAATAGATTATGATAAATATAACAACTTATAAGACGGACACAAACGATTAATTGAAGTCGAATCAGTCGATGATTGCCTTTTTATAGTCAATTTACGATTCAATTAATATGATGCCAAAATCCACCAATCAAAAATAAGTAATGGTGGACCGCACGCTGTTTTTTTTCTTATTTTTATTCATTTTTTTTACATTTTTTTTTAATTTTATTTTTTTATTTTTTTTTTTATAGTACAGCTTTCAATTCAACCAATATGATTCAAGAACATTAAAAATGATCATTCATTCTTTGTTTGACTTTAGAACCGCAAGCATCTTAAACAAAAAAAAAAAACAAGCAATAAAAAAAACAATAGCAAAATGTGGAATACTAACAACAAATACACGATAATAATAAAATATAACAATAAAAAAGAAGAACAAAACAATAGTAGTCTACAAAGTGTAGAGATGAAATAAAAGATTTACCGCCATATAAACAAAATTTTGAAATGATCTTTTAAAACAAAAACAAAATCAAAAAAACGAAAACTGAAAAAGAACGAACAGGAAACAAAATGAGAAAGAAAACAAAACAAAAAAAAACCTCGACTCTTCTACATTTAGTTTTAGTATGACAAAGCGAATAAAAGTATTTGTGTGTAACTGAAACGGAAAGCAAACGAAAAACAAAAACAAAAAGTGTGTAAGAAAAAACTGGAATATTATTCAACAGGGGTGTGGTTTAAAACATGTTTTCTGATTTCGTTTTCTAGCATTAATATTTATATCTCTCTTTCTCTTGCATCACATAATATAGTGTGCTTGGTTTTGTGATCTTAAAAATTCTATAGTCAATATCTTCCTGCTGATAATGTGAAATTTTAAATTGACATTTTTTCGTTTTTGAATTTAAATTATTGTGTACAGTGTTTTATAATAAATTATATATGTATATTTGTATAGCACTATACAACCATATCAGTATAATAGTATATTATATATATATTATGTATAGGTATATTGTTATATTAATTTAAAAAAGAAGTCACTCATGTCGCAATTCATGATCATCAAATAAAAGATTTTTAAAAATAATATAGATCGACTCGAAGTCATAAAGTCATATTAAGCATTAGAATAATATTCGAAATGTTCACGAATAATAAAAATATTAAGAGCATAAAATAAAAAAGAATCGGACTATATATGTATAATATGTTGTATACGTTATGTATACATTATCTACACATACGATCATTCGATCGTCATTAAAAATAATAAAGGAAAAATAAAATGTATATTATTTTTAAATAATTTATGAATGTTTTATGAATAAAATTATAATGACTATATACAAGATGTCCTGAAAATAATGACAGTATTAAAATTTTTATTATAAATCTATAACGGATACTGGCGACTTAATACAAAGCTCAATAAAAATATTAGGACAAAACCAATTTTAATGTGGATAACCGAATAAAAGGAAAAAATTTAACGGAGAAAACTCGAATAGCGGAACGGTTGTGAATTCACAAAAGAAGAAAAGGCACTAAGGGGGAGTAAAAACGCATGCTGGAATTTCAATACAAATCGGGACTGGCGAAGGTGCGGAAGGTACGCCTTCTCACGCTTGGGATGCGAGGATAAATAAATTTACCTGATAGCTGTGGAATTTTTCAAATGAAGGTTGGAACGATACTCAGGACTGCTGATAGACATACTAACTGCAACCATCTCTTAGGAATCATATTGCAGAGTGGATAGCATGGAACAAATACCCTGTCTCTGGTATGGAAGATGAATAGTGAATAGCTTTCTTCCTGAATAGTTGGCATGTGAGTTGTCCAACATTTGATGTGTGAGTTGCTGATAAGTCTTCTTGATGGACTAGCCTATGTCGTCGAGTGGGTGGCTGGGCGGGACTTTCGTCTCTTAATAAAACTAAGGCATATCATCTACCCATCATCATAATTGCATCAAAAAGCTATAAGTTTCATTTTAACTGGTTTTTTGCAAACTTCCTTGGATGCACAACCGAAACCTTATGCGAAATCATGAAGTCTTGTGCCGAAAGGATCAAGTTCTTAAAAACTTTTAATACATATACCGTAAACATTTTTTGGTACTATTAAAATCAATCTTTATCTTTCAATCAAATCAAGAGTTTGAAAATGGTAAATTATGAAAACGGCGTATCATTATTATGGTTTTAAGATTTCATTCACATTTTTA